ACCTGGGAGCACCTGGGAGCACCTGGGGACACCTGGGGACACCTGGGGACACCTGGGGACACCTGGGAGCACCTGGGGATACCTGGGGATACACCTGGGAGCACCTGGGGACACCTGGGAGCACCTGGGGATACACCTGGAGACACCTGGAATACACCTGGGGACATGTGAGATACACCTGGGCACACCTGGGAGCACCTGGGGACACCTGGGAGCACCTGGGGACACCTGGGAGCACCTGGGGATACCTGGGGACAGCTGGGATACACCTGGGCACACCTGGGAGCACCTGGGGACACCTGGGGATACCTGGGGATACCTGGGAGCACCTGGATACAGCTGGGGACACCTGGGATACACCTGAGCACACCTGGGGACACCTGGGATATACCTGGGAGCACCTGGGCACACCTGGGAACATCTGGGGACACCTGGGAGCACCTGGGATACACCTGGGGACATGTGAGATACACCTGGGCACACCTGGGAGCACCTGGGGACACCTGGGGACATCTGGGACACACCTGGGATACACCTGAGCACACCTGGGGACACCTGGGATACACCTGGGGACAACTGGGATACACCTGGGGACACCTGGGAGCACCTGGGGACATGTGAGATACACCTGGGATACATCTGGGATACACCTGGGAGCACCTGGGACACACCTGGGATCCATTGGGGCACACCTGGGACACACCTGTGGCACCCATGGGAGCACCCAGAGCTCAATAACCAATGGACAGCGGCCAGGCCTTACCTGTGCTCACCTATGCTCACCTGGGCTCACCTGGGCTCACCTGTGCTCACCTGGGCAGGACCGTGATCCCGAGCTGGGGCTGCAGTCGGTGCTGAAGCTGCTCGAGGCCGTGGACTCGCACATCCCCCAACCCCCCCGGGACCTGGACAAGCCCTGCATGATGCCCATCGAGGCCGTGCACTCCATCCCAGGTGAGCTCACCTGTGCACACCTGTGCACACCTGTACCGTGTGTAAATCACACCTGTAACACGCCCACATCACACCTGTGCCACACCTGGACAAGCCCTGCATGATGCCCATCGAGGCCGTGCACTCCATCCCAGGTGAGCTCACCTGTGCACACCTGTGTTACACCTGTACACTCCTGTACACACCTGTACTGCACCTGTAACACGCTCACATCACTGTTGTTCTCACCTGTGTCACCTCTTACCTGTTCTTATCTGTGTCATCTCATTTGTCTTACCTGTGTCTTAAGTGTGTCTCACCTGTGTCTCACCTGTCCGTGTCTCACCTGTGTCTCACCTGTCCCACCTGTGTCCCACCTGTGTCTCACCTGTGGGTGTCTCACCTGTCTCACCTGTGTCTCACCTGTATCTCACCTGTGTCTCACCTGTCTCACCTGTGTCTCACCTGTATCTCACCTGTGTCTCACCTGTGTCTCACCTGTGTCTCACCTGTCCCAGTCTCACCTGTGTCTCACCTGTCCCAGTCTCACCTGTGTCTCACCTGTCTGTGTCTCACCTGTGTCTCCCCTGTGTCTCACCTGTCCCAGTCTCACCTGTGTCTCACCTGTCTCACCTGTGTCTCACCTGTCTCACCTGTCTGTGTCTCCCCTGTGTCTCACCTGTCCCAGTCTCACCTGTGTCTCACCTGTCTCACCTGTGTCTCACCTGTCTCACCTGTCTGTGTCTCACCTGTGTCTCACCTGTCTGTGTCTCACCTGTGTCTCACCTGTCTCACCTGTGTTGTGCCCAGGTCGCGGCACCGTCGTCACCGGGACCCTGGAGCGTGGGAAACTCCGGCGAGGGGACGAGGTGGAGCTGCTGGGATACGGCCGGAGCGTGCGCTCGGTGGTGACCGGTGAGTGACCA